GTTTTGAGAAAGTGTTGTCATCCGAGATTTATTATTATTGCTCGCTAGTTGATTATGCCATTGATATGAGTAAACATGAGACCTAAGCGTTATTGTGAATATGGTTAGTTCATAATATTTGCTGAAAACTTGAATGCTGGCTTTACATATTTACAACAACAAGAGCAAACAAAGTTTGTAAAAGTTATTCTTTATCACTTTCAGTTTGTCAACTGAATTGCTTGAGGACAAGCAAAGGTTTAAGCTTGGGGGAGTTGATACGTCTCCGTCGTATCTACTTTTCCAAACACTCTTGCCCTTGTTTTGGACTCTAACTTGCATGATTTGAATGGAACTAACCTGGACTAACGCTGTTTTCAGCAGAATTGCCATGGTGTTATTTATGTGTAGAAACAAAAGTTCTTGGAATGACCTGAAACTCCACGGAGCGTCTTTTTGGAAATAATAAAAAATACTGTTAAAAGATCAATGCCAGGGGGCCCACACCCTAGCCACGAGGGTGGGGGGCGCGCCTGCCCCCCTGGGCGCGCCCCCTACCTCGTGGCCCCCCTGGAGCTCCTCCGACCTCAACTCCAACTCTATATATTCACTTTCGGGGAGAAAAAATCAAGGAGAAGGATTCATCGCGTTTTACGATACGGAGCCGCCGCCAAGCCCTAAAACCTCTCGGGAGGGCTGATCTGGAATCCATTCGGGGATCCAGAGAGGGGAATCCGTTGCCGTCGTCATCATCAACCTTCCTCCATCACCAATTTCATGATGCTCACCGCCGTGCGTGAGTAATTCCATCGTAGGCTTGCTGGACGGTGATGGGTTGGATGAGATTTATCATGTAATCAAGTTAGTTTTGTTAGGGTTTGATCCCTAGTATCCACTATGTTCTGAGATTGATGTTGCTATGACTTTGCTATGCTTAATGCTTGTCACTAGGGCCCGAGTGCCATGATTTCAGATCTGAACCTATTATTTTTTCATGAATATATGTGAGTTCTTGATCCTATCTTGCAAGTCTATAGTCACCTACTATGTGTTATGATCCGGCAACCCTGAAGTGACAATAATCGGGACCACTCCCGGTGATGACCGTAGTTTGAGGAGTTCATGTATTCACTATGTGTTAATGCTTTGGTCCGGTACTCTATTAAAAGGAGGCCTTAATATCCCTTAGTTTCCACTAGGACCCCCCTGCCACGGGAGGGTAGGACAAAAGATGTCATGCAAGTTCTTTTCCATAAGCACGTATGACTATATTCAGAATACATGCCTACATTACATTGATGAATTGGAGCTAGTTCTGTGTCACCCTAGGTTATGACTGTTACATGATGAACCACATCCGACATAATTCTCTATCACCGATCCATTGCCTACGAGCTTTCCATATATTGTTCTCCGCTTATTTACTTTTCCGTTGCTATTGTTACAATCACTACAAAATACCAAAAACATTACTTTTGTTATCATTACCTTTTGCTACCGTTACCACTACTACCATATTACTTTGCTACTAAATACTTTGCTGCAGATATTAAGTTTCCAGGTGTGGTTGAATTGACAACTCAGCTGCTAATACTTGAGAATATTCTTTGGCTCCCCTTGTGTCGAATCAATAAATTTGGGTTGAATACTCTACCCTCGAAAACTGTTGCGATCCCCTATACTTGTGGGTTATCATTACCTTGCTTTGCCATTAAGGACTTCAGCCAAACAGGGCAGTCTTTCTTGCAAGGTTGTCAGAATCGCGATCCTGTTATACGATTCTACGACTTCATGATCCAAACTAACCCCTATGATTCTACGATTTTAGTTCATAGAATCTACGTTTCTATGATCCTGATAGTGAAGATTCTATGATTTGCGATCCTACCATCGGAGCTCCGATCCGATTCAAAATCGCGATTCTGACAACCTTGCTTTCTTGTAATGCCCGGTCTGCTTGCAGTGGAGACAAGTGTCTTTGTCCACTGGGAAAGGCTGTTGCTGACGCTAATGCTGATAGGGAGCTTTTCCTTGTGGCTTTGAAGGAGAACTTTTGTCGTTTTGATTGTAGTTCTTTTTCTTGTGACCCTTCACATAGTTGAGTGTACCACCATGTGAGGCTTTTAGTCTGTCCTCTTCTTGGACACACATTGCTATTGTCTTTTCAATGTCCCATGTTCCAGGTGACATATTGTAGTTCACAACAAAAGTTTCAAACTCCTTTGGTAGTGAAGCCATGACCAGGTGGACCAGGAGCTTTGGTTTGATCTCCAGATCCTCATCCATGGGCTTTAGCTTTGCTGCCATATTGCTCATCCCGAGGATGTGCTCCCTTATTCCACCACCTGCGTAGTGTTCTGTCACTAGTTGTTTTAACACCTGGGTGGCATATATCTTTGAAGAGCTAGTGAACTGGCTCTTTATCTTTATAAGCAACTCCCCTACGGAAGTGCACGCTGCAATGGAGCCCACAATGGTGCTCTCAATTGTATTCTTTATAAAGGTCATGCATTTTTTGTTTGCATTGACCCACTTTTGGTTATATGATGTAGGACATCTCCAAAGGAGCATAATCCCCCCTCTTTTTAGTCCACGCAGCATGGTCATCAGTGGTCTCTCTTACTGGCTCTGTAGGTCTGACCGGCTGTGGTTCATCCAGAACCCAGTCCAGATCAGCACAAACAAATGCCAGTTCAACTTTCTTCCTCCACTCAGTGTGATTGTCACCTCTGAGTGTCGGAACATCTTTTAGGCAACTCATCAAGTGAAAGCCTCCTGAAATCACAATTTAAGTGACATCAATATAACAATCATATGCATTAATCTAACGTTGGTCAAATTAAACATATAATTGTCTATGCAATTAAATCTATATTACCGTTGGGCAAAAATTAGAAATAAATGCATCTTTAAATTTCAATAGTAAAACATGATCATGTTATTAAACAACATTGGTCATAAAAAATAACATAATCATATTCATTTTAATAATCACTTTAACATGCTCTTTTAAAACTTAATACTATATAAACTTTTATTTTCTTTGTAAAACAACATTAATTATTTAAGCGGAAAATCATGAATAAAAATCCACGAACTTTTACACTTTACAGAAACTTTTTCTTTGACAGAATAAAAAATTATGAACTTTTTAATTTTCTTTATAAAATTCATGAACATTTCTTTTCAGAAAATTTTCTATTCTCTGAAAAAACAAAATTAACTGCAGCAGAGCCCAGTGCGCGCGGCCTGCAGCGAAAAGAGCCAGCCCACGACCTGGCCTGCGTTCCATCTGTGGCTGTGGCCTCGGCCCAGCGCCAGTGCGCCCGACTCTGCCGTCGGCCTAGTCCACTTTCGGCCCAGAAGGCCCGTGCCGCTCTAGGGTTTAGATCTGGGGTGTCCATCGCGATCCGACGGTCATCCGCAGTTCTAGCTGGATCAAAACCGGCGCCCGGTCGCCCCGATCGAACCCTAGGGTTATTCTCTCTCGCACGCGCCGCTCTCGCTCTCTCCGCTCCCGCTGGCGTGAGCACGGGGCTGCGCCACGGCTGCCCTGTCCGGTCGCCGGCGGCGGCGGCGGAAGCCACCGCGCCGCGCGCGCCTCCTCTTCCTTCCTCTTTCTCCATTCCTTTCTAAATCGCCTCCTATGACGGAGAGACGCCGATTGGCAGCGGGTTAGGGACCCATCGGCCGCCGGCGACGGCGTCGCCACGGTGCCGCGCAAGCACCCTTGTTCTCCTCTTTGATGCGAGGTCGAGCCCTCCTCTGCTCCCCTTGCGCCACCTTTGACAGAGAGAGAGAGAGAAACAACTGCAGCCAGCTTTGCTCCCTTTCGACGACGGTGGCGCTGTTGCCTCCCCTTTGCCGATGACGCGTTTCCCTTAGCGGAAGCGCGCCGCCGTCGAACGGCGTGGCTGCTGTGCTCTTTGCCCCTTTCGGGGTAGGTTCTTCGTCCCTGTCGCCTCGGCTTGCCGATGCGCGACGGGATCGAGAGGAACAGGCGTGGCCTGACGGCGGTGCACTTTGCCGGCGAAGGCCCGAGGCCCTTCTCCGGTGAAAACTTTGTTATTCTTTTGTTTTCTTTTCTCTGCCCTTCTAGGGTTCTTTGGGAAGGGATGAAACTTTTCTTTTCTGTACCGAAAATCTAGACCAAATCTGGCTCTGATACCATTGATAGATTCTTTGGATCGGGGTAGGCTAGATCATCCGGTAAACCTACCTTCTGCTTGTCCAGACGAGGAACTCCCGGTGCCGGCCATGGTGACGGTGGCCGGTGATGACAGAGAGTGGATGACGGCGGTGGTGGAACTTCCCGTGAGCACCGCGCTAACCCTAGATCGGTAGGGAATATCGGTGGGGTTTGTGGTAGCGGTGAACGTCGTATCGCGTGCCCCGACCCCCACCTCTGTTAATATAGCGCGGGTCACAGGGGCCCATCAACCATAGTGGGTTGAGCGCCCCGATCAGGGCGCGGATCTAAGGGCCCGGTGGGCCGTTGGGCCCACGCGGTGGAGATCAACCTAACATTGAGATCATCAAGCTTCTCCTGAATGTTGCCAGAAATAGGATGCCAGTTTGGGTAAATGTGCTGCCATCAACTTTGAGTAAATTGGCGATGGTAAAAAGAGGTGATCTCGGGTCTCAAGAGCTCTTTGGCCACACATGCCACATGTAAAATGCTGGATGAAAACAAGAACCTTTCTATGAAGCATTTCCTTGATGTTGAGCCTGTTATATAGAAATAACCAGAAAAAGATCTTGTGTCTTAGCGGACAACATGAGTTCCAAAGCCATGAAATTGCAGGAATGGTCTCAAATTTACCAAGGATCTTTTGATAAGCCCTTTTGTCCCGAAAAGAGGTTGCACAGCTTGAATTTTGTTTGGTGCACAATTATATTCTCTTTCGAGAAACGGTGTCGATGATTGCCTTGGAGATACCATGTATTACATCCTAAGCACGTTGAACCCATCTCGGCAAACCATGTTCCCAGAACTGCATACAACAAACACTTTGGGTTCCTTAGTCGATGGCGAGGGGCAAAATAACAACCTTCAATGTCACCTTATCGACTTCTTTACCCAACTTCTTGTTTAACATGTCTTCAATGATATCCTCGGCTGTGAGACCCTCACTCACGGCGGCACACTTCAGAATGAACAACTCATCCTTGCACACCATAGCATGCGGCACCCTCTCATGTGGTTGCAGTGTTAGCATGACATTGCACATTGATCGTGGTGGCACAACACGTTTCTCCGGTTTAATGCAATACCGTAGTATGCCCATCATTTCAATATCAAAGGCAACGTAATCATCAGTTACGTTAGTTAGCTGAAGTGAGCATGGTATCTGCTTGTTTACCTCGAACGGGAAATTCAGCTCGAGCAAGTCAAACTCAAGTAGCTCCCATGGGTAAGCGCTTATCTGCATGAAAAGATTTGGCACTTCCATTAGTACTTTCTAAGCTAACAATGTCATGCAGTAATAAGACTTTTAGAGCATACGAGCATACCGGGCCAGCTGGAGAGTTACCAAGATTGGTAATGTGCTCATTCGGACTTTCCATTGTATTAAGCATACTGACTATATCTGATATCTTAGGCCTCTTCTTTGGGGAGTCTGACAAGCACCTTAACGCTATTTCAATGCATTTACTTACCTGTTGGTATCCAAATGGTGGATAGTTCGCTGATTTATTCCATTTGTACCTCCACCTTCTAAGTACCTATCATTTCACAAAGGCGATTTATAATGACCCTGTAATATTTTTCCAAACAAAATGCAAGTTTTGCGCAAGCAACTGAAAAATATCAACATGATTTCAAGAAAAGAAGAATAACATCAACTGGATCTCAAATATCAAGGTAATCCCTACGTAAATTTCACAAAACAAAAACTTTTGAGTTTTTTTATGAAAGGAATATTTCAATATCAAGGAGATATAAATTGCACCCGATCTCTGCACCAACACAATCTAAGAGCTATTCAAGACATCGCTGATGCGCACACTCAAATTATTACAAAAGAAGAAAAAAGAGTGGCTGACACTGTGGTACACATCAGCCACAACAATTAGTAATGGTAATCGCAGGAAAAGGTTCCGGTGGGTGTCAGGAAAAGGTTAGACTTCTACCCATCTCGATTCTTTTGGCAGAGTGATGAGCTTAAACGAAAGTATAGGCTTGCTAAGTGGGATATAATCTGTAGGCCGAAGGACCAAGGGGGTCTAGGTATTGAAAATCTGGAAGTCAAAAACATATGTCTCCTTAGCAAGTGGCTATTTAAACTTTCGTCTGAGACGTAGGCTACTTGGGCACATATTCTGCGTAATAAGTATCTTTATGCTAAAACCTTGACCCAGGTGAATGTGAGGCCTTTCGACTCACCTTTTTGGAAGGGTTTGATGAGAGTTAAACAACTCTTTTTCAACAAGACAAAATTTATTGTCGGGAATGGAGCTACTACGAGGTTTTGGGAGGATACGTGGCTTGGGGAGACCCCCTTGCACTTCAATATCCTACTTTGTACAACATTGTTCGACGTAGAGAAGCCTACGTTGCAACTGTTTTACAATCCACTCCCCTCAATATTAGTTTTCGGAGGACGCTAGTTGGAAATCATTGGGAGGCCTGGCTTCATCTTGTGAGACGTTTAATGGTAGTCCAGCTGTCCCAGCAGCCAGATCAGCTGTATTGGAAACTTACTAAGAACGGTGTGTTCTCGGTCAAATCCATGTATCTGGATGCCATTAACTCTAGCGTTATCCCTTCCTCGATACACGTTTGGAAAGTAAAGGTTCCCTAACGAATCAAAGTGTTTATATGGTTTGTGCATAAACAAATCATTTTGACTAAGGATAACCTAGCAAAATGCAACTGGGTGGGTTCTTCTAGGTGTAGTTTTTGCGATCATAACGAAAACATCAAACACCTCTTTCTTGATTGTCTGTTGGCTAAGATTCTGTGGCGGTCGATTCATATTGCGTTTAATATTAATCACTCCACCTCTATCAACATGTTATTTGGAACATGGCTTGATGGGATTGATTCCGATACTACGAGACACATTCGTGTTGGCGTTTGTGCTTTATTTTGGGCAGTATGGAACTGCAGAAATGATTTAGTTTTTAACAGATCAACAAACATTCATTTCTTGCAGGTTATCTTCAGGGCCACGACGTTCATCCGTATGTGGTCGCTACTCACTCCGACGGAGGCCAGGGAGCGTTTGGTTACTGCGTCTACCCGATGGGAGATGGTAGCTCGGGATATTTTCAACCGGTTTGGATGGCGGTCATGTAATAGGATAGGCATGTAGTGCTCCTATTTTATTTGCCAGCCGGTTGTGGCTTTGGGCTTTAGCTCTTATGAGCTTTTGTTTATTTTCGCACTTCGATACTTGGAGACTTTGTTGCTGGATTTCCTTTTTAATAATATGAGCCGTATGCATCTTTCTGATGCAGAGGCTGGGGTAAACCCCCTTTTCGAAAAAAAATCGCAGGGAATGCCTCCAGAGCTTGCTATACTTGATTTCAGTACATGTGTATAACATTTTCATTGTTTAAAATTTGATCTAGTACATTAATGTAAACTTTCGTGGTTATGTACTCCTTTACATTTCATTTCCATTACACATCCATTACACATTCGCTTCGTATGTGGTCTACGCTACACCAAGTAGAGTATCAACCGTTGTTCAAGGCGGTGTGTTGAAGCGGGTTGCCGGAAAGGTTTTTGCCTAACATGGGTGACAACATAATCTCCGGATCGGTCCACCACCTCCGACATAGGCATAGTGTTTGTCCTATGACACTACTGTCGCTGATATGTTTTCTTTAATCATCTTTCATCACAGTTGATGTTTGGCCATGTGCATCTTAGTTATGCAGAGGCTAGGTGTTGCTCATCATACTTTGTATTCGATTGATGCTACATTTTGAGTTAATAAAAACGTCTTTTATTGAAAAATTATATGAATATAGCAAGATGTGGGTTCCATTACGATTATATGCAAAGTATTTGGAAAAGAAAATAACATAACAAACTTAAACTATGGGTTGAATAATTCTTACATTTTGAATATCAGGTTCATCCTTACATCCAGTCACAAGCTCTTTGATTATAACGCCCAGACTGTATATGTCTGACCTGATTGACACCTCACCACGAGCTATGAATTCCGGAGCACAATATCCACTGCATGAAAGCACAGTGTTCAATTATATTATCTTTGGTGTTGGATGAAGCGAAAACGTTTTAATTGGGTGCACATGAACAGAGAATTGAGTTCTCTGCATGCAAGCTTACCGTGATCCTGTGGGGTCACTAGTGACAGCGTGTGTTGCTCCATCAAGGAGTTTTGATATACCAAAATCTGTAATTTTTGGTATCATAAGATCATCAAGCAGTATATTCTCAGGTTTCATGTCCCTATGAACAATACCCTTTTCCGTGTGAAGATAAACCAAACCATCACAGATTCCTCGAATTATCTGGTAGCGCATATGCCATTCAAGTCCCCTTAGTTCGTCCACATAAGTTAAACAGAGTAAAACTGAGGAAATGGAAAGGTAAATCAAATAAGGAAAGGAACTTCATCACACCACATGCATTGTCATACCAGTAAGATATCTGTCAAGGCTTCCATTACTGATATACTCGAAACAGAGTAATCTTTCCCTCATCTCGGCAAAAATATACTTCGAAGGTTCTCCTGATTCTGAATGTTTCATTGCTTTATTCTCTGTATTGGCACAGTAGCCCAGAAACCGTACTATATTTTTGTGTTTTACACTGATTAGAGAAGTAGTCTCACGATTAAATGATTCATCGTTGAATGTATGGCAGTTTAAAATCCTTTTAACAGCAACACTACTGTTTTGAAGATCGCCCTGTTTAACTTGTCTTGTTAGCACAATCAAGAGTCTCGGGACCAAGTTCAGTTCTGCTCTGAAAAAGCCTTTACGATTGGGGATTTTAGAATTTACTTACCTTGTAAACGATTCCGAATCCACCACAGCCAATTTGTCGCTTATCATTGAAATCCTCAGTGATGTGTTTTAAAAGTGCTAACGGCAGATTAGTCGGCTCCGCGCTTCGGTCAAGTACTATATGCTCCAGGACATTTGAGGCTGATTCCATCTCCACCCTGATTACAGCATGCACTTCCATATTCAGACCTAGAGAAATTAAGTTGCTTTCTAAACGCATATTGTTCAGTGATATAGGGTAATTACTGAGATTTGCCTCAGTTCTTAGTTCATACACTGAAGCATACGTTGTGATTAATAATACTCCCTCCTTTCCATAATTCTTGTCATGGTAACTAAAGCCACGACAAGAATTATGGAACGGAAGGAGTACTTAATAGCTCATGTTTTAGTACTTATGTTCATAGCATATGTTGTGACTAATAGCTGTATTATTACTTGTCTAACAAAGCTTGAACTGTGCAAATAAGCCCTCATGGAAGGAGGGAGATGCAGAGTGTTTGGTTTAAGTTTGACTGTCCGCTGGAATGATTTTCTATTGTAAATCCTCCGTCTCCTTCACAGTGCTAAGCAAGCTGGGCTTAAAAGCCTTTTCTCCAATAAACTATGCTTTTCATCATGTGTGTTAACACTATGGTTGAAAACCAGAGAGTACTCAAAGATCTAGTATAAATTGCTCTTGTATAATCTTTCCAACAAAATGCATTGGGTGGAATCATGATTCAAGCCCGAACAGTCAGGAGGGGATCGATGAAATTCTACTACTTGTAAGAGAAGAAATGTGACTTTTATCGCCTATGTTTTTTTTACCTGCAAAAAAAAAGTTAGCACAGACACGCAGCAGAGAATAGACATGAGAGTCAGTCTTACCTTTCTCTGCAAGCCATACTGCGTGAAATCCCGACGCCTCCTTCCTCCTACATAGAAAGAGATGTTTGGTAATGTTTCTTGCTTAATTCTCTGTAGCATGAGACAACCTACCATATCAGTCTCATCTTTAACTTTTGAATAAATATAAAGAATAATCCACTTCATCATAAATTCCTATATACCACTACTTTCGAACTAAAATCTCTATGTACCAATTACCAAACTACCGTTTTACATGACTGTTAATTTTCTCACAACTGCTTGGCCTCAATGTAAGGCTACTATAAAGTTGTAAAATTCTAATACAATTTGGGCTTCTCAAGATTCAATCTGGATTTTCTCAATAAAAATAATAATTCAATCTAGACATCTGAATATCGCTGAAAACAAATCTTCTATTCACGCAGCAAATGTTGGAATTAATCTCTAGTTATAACAAACTGAAAAAGAAAAGGGGAGCTAACAAAATTCTCACGTAAGTGCCCTGATTGGGGGCACCAAATTGGTTTCGATCCCGGGTCTTGAGTGCCAAAACAATATAAAGGGGATTTGGGGTTGTTAGAAAGATAAGATACAACTCATGGCTGACACTCCTAATCCTAACTGTGAAGGCAGTGCCGGCGGCAAATCGTGCTGCACCACTACGTTTCCCTACATATTTTAGCACAGGTGAGGCAGCCATGGACATACGTATTTTTTGGTGAGGCAGCCATGGACATACGTATTTTAGCCACTACCGGATTCATCATGATTCTTGTTAGTACCTAATCGTCCACATACGTATTTTTTATGTTCTAATTAAGAGATCAAGATCCTAGATGTTAACCTAAAGGTTTTATACTAACAACAAAAACTGTCTATAGACAGGGGAAAAAATGGACGTATCTGGATCAAGGCGTTATCTTCTTATTCAGTGATCTAGTAGGAAATTTCAAAAAAGGAGTAAGCCGACATGCACGTCCAGTTTTCTCGGCCTGATGGCCAAAACATAGTACCGACCAAGTGTTCCAGAAACTTGAATCAAAAACTCTGACGGCAGTTGCAAAGAATTCAGGGGAAGTATATTGGTACCTTCTCTTTGCATGCCTCCATCTCTGGGCTAAAATAGACACCAATTGCGTCAATCTCGTCTCCGCTAACATTGACAAAGAAGCCAACTATACTACCATTGCCCTGCAGCGAACTTCTGAAACGAGTTCCCCCTCCTTTTCCGTATGGTCCATAGCCACCAGTATTGGTGACAAAGTAAAGTGATGTTACAACATCTGAATATCCGGAGTTACGACCAAGTGTTCCAGAAACTGCAGTCAAAAACTCTGACCGCCCAAGAATAATCTACAGGTGAAGAAAGTTCAGTGCCATCATAGGTATTTGTATAAAGTGATAATTAGAACATCGATAAACAGAAACGACACACATGCATGTATGCTGCCCTATTTTCTCAACATGAACCCTGTTTAACTCGAGTTGAATGTACATCACCTGCACTAAAATGCTAGTCATATAATTACTCAAATCATAAAGCAATCATATCATCATGAGGAAGGACATATTCTGAAAGGGCTGGAAGTTCGTTCAACCATATATAAACTTAACCGTCTCACTTTGACCACAATATGAAAGGATGCAGTATTTACATTGGTACTGAGGTAAAACAACATCACTATATTTTTCAATGTCAAGTAGTTTATAACAACATCACTATATTTTCCAATGTCAAGCACTGTATATAGTATCCTCCGCTTTAGTATAACAAGTACTCACGCTGTCTCATAATATAAGAAGTTATTACAAGCGATATATATTATGGGCTGTTTTTACGGTACCCTGGTACTCCCGAGTGAGAGATGGGAGTACCAGATAAATCCAACCATCCATCTATAGGGGTATGTTAGACATTTTCTCTTGGCTAATTAGTTCTGATTTTTATTCCAACTGAATCAACCGCATCAGGCCGCCGCGATCGCATTGTTTGTTTCACCTTCATGGTAGCGGCTGGAGACTTTGTTTTCCTCATCGCTGCACCCTCGTGAGATGTATCGATTTGAACAATTTAACCAAGAAATATTAGTAGCCATCCGGTGAATTCCTGTTAATTACAGATTAATTGAACTATGACGCTGTTGGAGAACTGCGCTCCTCCCCATATACCCGTGATGGGCAAGTATCCCGTACGGCAGAGTCATCCCTGACGAATTCGCGTAGCCGCAGCCATTGGCGGCGGCCATTGACATGCTCATCACGGGTGTGCAGAATCTGGATCGTGAACTGCTGTGGCATACTCCTAATCACCTCGGTGGTGATGACCATGCGATCATCATGCCCCGCCACACATGATCATCCTATATGTTTTGGGATTTCACTTTTTACCAATGACATTGATTCGGGATTAGGGTTCATCAGAAAATTATGTTTGAAGTATGCGTTCACAACCTTACGAGCAAGTCTTACTAAATTGGCATCTTATTCTATTTAGTATTTCTATAGTAATTAATATAACATTGAGAAATAAATAAATCGCCCATTGATCATGGTTTTACCCCTAACATCAAGGTACTCCTAATTCTTTTGTGGTGGCACTCCCTAGGCTTATATTGGAGTACCATGTAAGTTTAGCCGTTAGATTAAGATGGATGAATGGCTCACATTTATTTAGGGGTACTGTAAAAGAGCTCATATTATGAGACGGAGAAAGTAATAGTTAATGTCGCAGGCTGAAGACTGTACCCGGTAAAAGATGTCATCGGCTTTGGAACCGAAGGATTACCCTTCAGCAATTATAGATAGTGTGAGAATCAATTCATACATACAAAACCCACAGGAGTAAGACCTGTACTCACCGTGTCAATTTTCCCGTCGAATGGCTCAGGCGTCCAATCCCACGGACCAGCGGTCTGCTGTTGCCCATCCCAGTCAATGTATGCAAACGTAAGTGAATTGATTACAGTACTATTATGAACTACCACACTTATCAGACGACGAGGTAACACATCCACGTCATTAGGCCTCCCTGTATCACTGCCCCATGGCCCAATTTTTGTAACCGAGTCCTGAGTACAATCCGGTTAATGAAACGTCAGAAGACTGGGAATGTGAAAAGAACAGTAAAAACAGACAATTGAAGCTATTTGGCACCTGTCCTTTCATTGGTTCCCAAAGTTTACTCTCAGAGTTCACATAAAGACCAATTGACTCAACCACTCACTCAGCATGGGCGAAGAAGCCAACGATGCTACCATTGCTCATCACTGGACTGTGAAAAGGAATTCCTACTCCTCCTCCAAAAGGTCCATACTGACGACCAGTGGTGGTAAACATAACAGATGTTATAACGTTGGAAGAATATTGGGCAGAGAAAGCAATTGTTCCCGAAACTTCGGTCAGGAACTCCGAGGGTCCTAGTTGAATCTACAAGAGGAGAAAAATATGATTATCAGCTTAGCTATATGTACACGGAGGTAGATTTCTTCCATGAAAGCATAACTTGAGTTACATTTACACACCGTGTCAAAGCTGCCATAAGAAAAGTCTTTACAACCCCCCCATGGACCTGCATGGTGCTGCTTTCCATAGTTATCGCTGTACGAAAATGCAAGTGAATATATGACCTCTCCACTACGGATTGTGACGCTATTCAGACGCAGTGGTGACGCTTTGATGTCATTAAAGATGCCTCTGTTTCCACCCCATGGCCCTATCTTCGTAATATATGCCTAAGGAAACGCATTAGCGAAGCATAACATTACAAGGAGAAACAAAAATTAAGAATAAATACAAGGACTAAATCATGTTTTGATTGACTTTGACTAAGTACTTTCTCTGTATCTAAACGCCCTTATATTTCTTTACAGAGGGAGTATATTCTACTTTTCAATTTGATTGGTTGGATATTTGGTTAAAAATTTCATGATTGATTAATATGCAGAGCTCAACATAGCGTTAAGTTTCTGCTAACACAACTGTCTTTTTTTTTATGTCAGGGCTCTGCACCTATTCATTAAGATTAAGATAGGCAAAAGGTAAAACAAGTGTTTTTATGTACAAAGAGAAAGAAAAAACTATGTCAAGCAGTAACCTCACCTTATCTATCTCCTTTACACTATCGCCTTCTAGGTTTGGGTGGGGATATGCGAACCCATCGCTCCCCACGGAGAGGAGGGTGAAGCCTCGGTGGTGCGGGGACGACAGGACCACGTCGGGGCCGCGGCGGCGGCGCCAGTCGATGAAGAGCCTGCCTCTGGCGGCCTCCCCGACGCCGCGGCTGAAGAAGACGGTGTCGCCGGCCTCGAGGAGCGTCTCCCTGACGAAGCGGCTCCACCCCTTAGTCATCACGTAGCTCTGGCTGCTGTT